TGCACACTGCAGCAGTGAGCAGCAGCCAACACAGGCAGATCTCATTTTCTTTTGATGAACCACGTTTCCAGTGGATAACGGCTCCCTTTTTTTTTTTTTTTTCCCTCTCCAGTGAACCTTAATTAGGAGAACAAAGTTGATGAAAGCCTTGTCTTGCCCTTCCCCTCTTCCTGCACACAAAGTCTTCTTCACGGACTCTGGGTTGGGTTTTTTTTGTCAAACAGCTCAGCAAAGCTGACAGATTGACAGTCATTAAATATAAAAACTTTATTTCACAATATCCCTAAATTACATGTTTCAAATGAAAAATGACACTTGCTTAAGGCATAAAGTGGGGTTCTTGTTTTTTTTCCCTACTTCTGCCTTTTTCCTATGAAGTCTTGAAGTATTATTCTTTTTATTATGGTAATGTAAAAACCTCTTTCTTGAATCTCAAATTGAAAGAGGGAAAGCTTGCTATGTGCCTTGGATAATGATTCAGCTATTGATCCAGCAGATGCTTTATTACATTATTTTGAGACAGCCAAATGTAATTTAATACCTATTTATTTTCTATTCCTATGCCAGTCCAAGATACAATCTTTTCTGCAAGAAATTAGTACTTTCTCCTTTCAACCTCAAAGAAAGATTACACTATGCTCCTTTCTTGGATTAGTTTGGGGAACTTTTTCAACAAAACATTGCTCTTGAGGTTTCTTGATAGTCTTTTCTTTTAACACTTTGAAGCCAAAACCTCAGCTGGGATCAGTGGGTTCTAGGCTTGTCTTTCTTATTACGCATTAATGCAAGAACTACTGACGTCAGGTAAAAGGGAAAGATTCCAGATGAGGAAAACAGAGACAAAAAGGAGACAAAAAGCTAAAATGAGCAGGTTTCATACAGGCAGAGAGAAGGAAGAGGAATGGCATTCTTTTTACATAGTTACCTGTAACCTACAGAAGGGACTGCGCGATGGACACCAGAACAGCAAGAGAGCATAAAAGTATTTAGGTCAGTCAAAATTAGGGTGTGCTTTTACAAGACTGAGCCCAGTTACTCTACGTGCAGCTATTGCTGGGACACACCACCTTGCTGGCCACATCTCCCACGAGCTGCCTCGCAGGCCAGAAATTGGTGGCTTTTCTGTAGGGTTACTTGTTGCCAGCTAGCCCCACTTGCTGGGGGGTCAGATGGGGAAAACAGCAGGAGTCCAAAGCTGAGGACAGAAGGGAGGGGAGAGGGACTGCCAGCAGCTAGATGGGCTTAGATCTAGCATATAAATAAAAAAGCCCCAGCTTTATTAAAGATCATCAGGAAATGTGTAGGGACCTCACAAAAGCAGAAGAAGGAGGAATTTAAGGTTGCCAAATTTGGACTTACACGCTGGAATACCTTGAACGATTCGTACAAGGCACATTGACACGACCATCTAGCAGCAGCCTGTCACCGCAGGGCAGAACAAGGAATGGTTCATCCATCTTCACCAGTAGCCACAGCACTGGGAAAATTTAGGGTCCTTTCCTGTGGTTCTGAAACTGTCCAAATCAAGCTGCTGGGGGAGTTTGTGAGAACGCACTGGCAGTCAAAATTGCTCCCATCTTAATGAAAGCTTCCTTAAAATCCTGGACTCCAGATACGGGGCTGGGGGCGATTTCCCTCCTTTATTTCTCTGTTTGGACTCTGGAAAGGGAGGAAGGGAAAACAGCGGGGGGGTGGGAGGGGGGAGGATCTTTAGAGGGGAAAATTACTTTCTCTGCAACAAACAAAACAATTACAAATTAAATATCACACAAAATGGTCCTATAAAAATAATGAAATGATGATTGTTCTTACATCACAGGAAGCACCATGAACGAAACACTGAAAGAAGCACGCTCTCCTGCCATTCCACACTGCCTGAGTGAATCTTCCAGCAGCAGCACTGCCTTGCCCTTTGCCTGCTTTCTGCAGCCCCTTGTGGCATCACCCAGGCTGTGAATGACTGGGGAGGGACCTCCCTGCCATCACTGCACACACCACATTTCATCCCTCCTGTCCAGTACTAGACCTTTCTCTCATGTTTTTGGATTTAACTGCAACAAATTCACAGGGGATCAAACCCACACTGGCTGTGAACTGACCAAAAAAAAAAAAAAAAAAAAAAATCAAGCATCATTAGACACAGCAGAGGTGGCAGACCTGAGGGGGATCAGGGACTTGATTTCCCCTCTGCATCCCCTCCCAGAGGGGTGCTGAGCTCTTTAACTCTTTGCTTAAACAGGCAGCAGTGAGAAGGAGACGCCAACCTTCAGACCAACCAGCAGAAGCTAAGCAAGGGAGCAAGCACGACAACACAGACGTGCCTTAAAAAATTGAACTCTGGCTTCAAGCAGCACAAATGCGTGTCCTAATTGTACCTCGTACTGCATGTTAAGCCGTCCAGATGACACTCATATTCTGGTGTTAATAAGCCATTTGTCCATCTGGCTTGTACAGCTAACACGCCTTCTCAATGGTATTGTAAAAGTGAAATTTATCAACTCTATAAATACATAGAGAATGTCGGAAAAGAAACTCCACAAAAATCAAGAACAAACCATTGTTGATGAACATGGATACGACTGGAGCCAAACAGCACTGTGTAAATCCTAACGTGCCTGTGTTGATCCCAGGACAGTGCTTATTTGCACTGTCTCCCAGTTTTAACTGGGAGAAATCAACAGCAGTAGCCACTCACTTGACATTGCGCAAACAAAAAAAAAAGGCATGAGTGCTGACCACTTCTTACCTCCATATAGCACCAGGACTCTGACCGTCCTGGCAGTCGGCTGGTATTTCCAGGGGTGAGAGCTCAAATTAAGAGATCAGACAGCGGTATATGTGCCCAAAGCAGCTCTGACCCTTTCTGTGGTACGAGAGCAAGTTACGGCTCATGTACACAGGGCCACATCTGCGAGGGATGATGCAGACAGATCAGCAGCAAGGAGACTTCAGAGACAGATTTGTACTAGCAGCTGGGGCAGGTTTTACTCTGATTAATCAAACTTGCAGCAGAAAATCTAGAAAATCAGATTTCAGAGGCAAGAAGCCACATGTCCAACTCGATACCTCTGTCAGTAGAAGGTTGTTCCCTGCAGAGTATTTTTCTGGCATGGTCTAGCTTAGGCACAACGATAGCCGTAGATCTCCCTTTCCCAGGGCATCACAGTGTAAGATGAGAGAATCTCAATTTAAAACAAAATATCCACACTGCAAACAAAGCCAGCCTTCCTGGAGAGCAGTAATTGGAAAGACTTTCTTCTGTGCAGAGTTACAGAGTCAGGTAATTACCAACAGTTAAGTTTCAGGGAAATATTACAGAAAAATGTATATTCTTGTAACACACCCTAAAGGGAGAGTCTTCACACCACCTGTTGCCAAGAGGAAATAATCAGGGAAGGTTTTTTCCTTTTCTCCTGCCTCTTGCTATTCTAGAGCATAAGGATAGAAAGTCCTCATTAACAAAGGGAAACTTATGAACCAATATGAGAAAGTGGGGCATGCACTGTATTTTTTTCTGGACAGAGTAGCAATCTTTTACTGATAAACAAACAGGATGAAATTGCTAATTACAGCCTGGAGCTAGAAGGACTTTTATGAGGAGTATCATGCTGGAGTCTGAGCACCTGTTCTCAACAGGAAGAAATATTTCATCTCCAAAGGACAGACTAGAATTAGCTTGGCTGCAACCTTTCATGAGGCCATAGCACCTTTCCGGTCATTAGACCAGACTGATTAAAACTTTGATCCTGTTCTTGTACCAACCTGGCTTTTTCCCCAGCCTGGCACATTTGACATTGCAGGAGGCTTTTGTTTCAATTTTACAACCCATTTAATAGCTTGAATTCCTAAAGAGATCCCTTCAGAACTACAGTACACTACCATAAAGTATTACAACAGGAGACACCATAGCAGTCTACTCTTTCATCGCCCTGTGTGACTGCAGGCAGACATTCGTTCCTTTGTTATGACTTTCCTCCATCCTGCTTTCCTCCCTCCCAATCACAATCAAACTCTACAGGTCCGAGAGGCTTTTCAATGCTACGCTGAGGGTGTGTGGAAATACAGGATGTTCTAGGGAACAGCATCAGTGAGGTTTCTGGCTTAAACCCCCAACTGCATGACCCTTGGCTCTGATCAGGTACATGCTCATCGAGGTCTCTTTTCAGCAAAAAGCTTTAAACTGAACTCAACAAAAAAACAAAGCTACATTTAATATTCTGCTGGTGAGAGAGGGAGAGGAAACATGAAACTTCTTGATGTATTCGTGTGTACTTTTGATTAAAGAAGTAGAAAGTGATGCACAGACAACCCCAACACACTTATTTCACACTGTTCCCGGGTACAGCAGCATGCTGCAGGATACAGTATGACCTTGGTATAAACAAGCAGTGACCAGTACTTGACTAAAGGAAGGATAATTACTGCACAGTGCCTGGCTATCAAACTATTCTAGTGAACTGGCAACATTTTATTTCCCCTAATGGTCGCAAGAACATTTGTTCCTGAAGGTTTTCAGAATGATCTGGCAGGTAAAGCATCAGACTGGAGCCAAGAGGAGGAGCTCTGTAATGGGTTTTTACCTTACCTGCTGCGACCTTCAGACATTTGCTGTATCTCTTACTCTTTATCAATACTTGATATTCATTCTTCAGAGTCCAGACTCCCATGCAACACAGTGAGACCTGTCAGTACTCTCAGAACAAGTTAACAGGAACAAGACGACTGACTAGAGACTTCGGAGTTAAATAAGTGTTTTTACTTTCAAGTGTCATAGTGCCAGACTTGTAACTCAAGCTAACAGCAGAATATACAGAGGATATTCAATACAGAGAAACTCAAGCACCTGAAAATTATCAGCCAGCGCTGTACAGCCAGAGAATTCTTCTTACAAGGTTTAACCCCTGTAGAAAGGTTAACAACACTGCAAAATGCATTTTGGTCAACAGGAATAAAGTTACACAGGTTTAACAATTACTGACACAGGCTCTCCATTTAAACCTGGCCAGCATCTCTCTCTCTACTTCTCAGAGGAAAGCCTCTCACTATCCAGATAAAAAGGGAGCATTAATGTGCCAACTTGAATATATATTTAATAACTTAGCACAGATTTGAGACATGGCCATTTAATATTTGAATAAGCTCTGAATCCGTGTCAAGAGAGAAACTAACAAGCTCCAACAAGATATTGATGGCCTACAACTCACTGAAATAATTTAACACATTTACAAGAAGAACAGTTAAGGTATGGCTAAGGGCTGTACATTCCACTGGAAGCTCAGACGTTACTACCAGCATTTCCAGTATGCTTATTCCTTCGTCCACTACTACCCATTGATGCGGTAATTCACATGGATTTCAGGTTTGATGTCACACACTAGCGACAACAGCTGGGAGAGGACCACCTCACGGTTCTTCTGGAAGTTCTGCTGGATCACACTCATCTTTTCCTGGGTCTCTTTCTCAACTTCAGTAGTGCAGCTGCCATGAGATCCAAGTGCCTACAAATACCAAAGGAAAGAGAAAGCTCACATGCGAGTAGTTTGACAAAGAAAACACTACACCTAGCTCTGTACTTTGTTATTCTGGACTGCCTCAGTGCATCTCAACCATTAATCTTTGCTAAGGAAAGAAGTGCACTAGGAAAAAAAAAAAGTACCATTGGATTCTCTGCTCAGATTTTCCACTAAACTTGCTCAAGTTTGTACTCCATCCGCAGCCCATGCCTTTTATCCTCTCTGATTCATCATCTACCAGTTTAGAGCATGGGCTTCTAAAGAATGTCTGAAATAAAGGTCCTGCTGTACTGGCAACGGGAACCAGGAACCCCTTGGCACTACTGTACTAGACACTGTTAGAAAAAGCAATACTCATGATTTAGTTTAAGCACAGTCTTCACATCATCCCATTGCTTCTACCCTTGAAGAATCTTTATAAAAATCTCTGCCTTCCTAACAGGACTGTGGGCCAAGTGATACGCACAACAAAGAGTCTCTCACAGCTTACAATGTCCTTCTCGCCCCATAAGCAAGGGCAGAGAGAGCAAACTCCCATTATAAGTGGGGGGAAAAGGCATGGAAAAAGTACGCTGAAGGAGAGTAGCAGTCTGGGACTCAAATTCAAAGAGCTTCTCTCTCTGGAGAAAGATAAATAAAACAGAACCAGCTGTCAGGCAGTGAAGTCCACTTTATTAGCCTGCAACTGGCTGGTATCATACGCTTACTGAACCAAGCTAACAAGTGATTGTAAAAAATTAATCTTGACCTACTGACATGAAGGCTATTATGCAGGAGAACAGAGGAGGTGGTATTGTGCTAACCAGAAGATGGACAGAGGGGAGGGTTGCCAGGTCATTTTCTGAAGATTTCAACCCTGACAGGAGCACACAGGCAGTGGAAACATCCTGCTACGCTACAGCCCTCAGCTGGTAAAGGGCCCCAGTTCCGCACCTTTTCAGAATACCTCGTCTTGCTCAGAAGGAAAGGAAAACACACCCCTTGGGACACAGCAGGCAATATGGCTAAGCAGAATACAAGCCTTACAACTGCTTCAGCAAGAGAGCAGCATTTATGAGGCAAGCGGTTTCTACCATGTTAGCATCGCAGAAACCAGCTCGTCACAGGGGGAGTAAGCTTGGTCCTTTTTTGACACTGCTACATACAGCCGGTTTTGGGAGGCTGCCACCCACCAGGGCACCAGCCAATACATGAGCTTATTAAGCTAATTCACTGCCAGTCAATAGTTCTGCCTGTTGAGATGCAATACACCATGTTCTGATTCACTTCCACTGGTTTTTCCGTGACACATGGCTGTGCATCGGAGGAAGGCAGTTAGGGAAGTACTCGTCCAGCAACACGTTCCACCCTGAGGGCTACTCTCAGGGCAAGTAACCCCAAACGCAAGGCTAAGGGGCTGGATAGGTAACAGTGAATGATCTAGAAAACAAACCGCTGCTTCCTTGGCTTTGAACTCCTTCTCCCTCTGCAGGCGGTACTGCTCAATCTCTGCCTGGGCTTCTTCTTTTGCCTGCTTCAGCCTCCGATTCTTTCCTATTTTCAAAGAACACACCAAATGAAATAAAGAGAGAAAGTATTGAGAGTGTATTTCCCCGCACTTCTCCAGCTACCCAATACGCAACAATCACTGTAGCATTTGCTACTGCAGCAGCTCCTTCTGTAGGAGGCATCAGCAGGGCACTGCACACCCTCACAGCCCCTCCAGCTTTGCAGTGTTAGCCAACCTCAGGAGCACGAGGTCGCCCTGCATGCCATCGAACCATCGCCAAGCTCACCACGCAATGAGCTTCCACCAGCTTCTCTGAGCCAGTGGATGCCTTAGAAAACCTACAGGTCTGGTCTTGCTCGTGAGCGTGCAACATCCCTGAGTGATCCCAAAGAGCACAGCAGAAAAGACATCTTAGTTTTGCCTCAGGCCAGTTGTGCAACTGATAGAAAAACTGACTACTGCATCAACTTCCCCTCTTGGACTTTCCACCACACCCTCCCCTCAAGGTTATCACCATTAGAGTGAGTTACAACAATCTACTTCTCACAAAACTTTCAGAGGGTAGAACCACAACACAGTGCGGCTTCATTAAAAAAAAAAATTAAAAAATGCTTGAAGCAGGAAAAATTTGTAGAGGTGGGGATCTCTGTAACCAGAATTTCTCTCACTTAACAGGAAAAGCTAACTTGGCTCCCCAAGGAGTAACTCTCCCAGCTCTACAAAATGTCTAATCTCCAACACGAAAATACGCTGTTTTCATCACGAAGGAAAAAAAATTAGAAGTAGCAAAGATGGAGATAAGCACAAGCATCCCCCAACTGAAGACTGTGCTAGAGGTGGGGATCTCTGTAACCAGAATTTCTCTCACTTAACAGGAAAAGCTAACTTGGCTCCCCAAGGAGTAACTCTCCCAGCTCTACAAAATGTCTAATCTCCAACACGAAAATACGCTGTTTTCATCACGAAGGAAAAAAAATTAGAAGTAGCAAAGATGGAGATAAGCACAAGCATCCCCCAACTGAAGACTGTGCTGCCACAAAGGACAGATCGGTGTCGATACCTTCACGCTGGAGACGGCTTTCAGAGGAGCAGACCAGCGCCGCACTCCCAGGGAGCCCCACTGCACTCACCACCGCCCCGAGCAGCCCTCCG